TACCCAACGCGTATAAAAGCAAGACTAAGCTTATTTTTGGAGGGGAGACGCCACTTTGAAGAGAGAATACACACGAGGAACATCCGGGAGCGAGGAGATCTCAGTTTTCTTTATCTTTTCTTAGTATTTTCAATTATTCAACACTTAGGAAATTGTTTGCTATTATCATGAGTGGCTAAAACCCATAGTTCTGGGGTTGTGATTTAGCCATGAATATTGTTGTTTAATGTTGACTTAACCTTGATTACAATTCACTAATATATGATAGTTTCTTTAATTCTGTGAATTGCTTAATTGTCTGGCCAGCAATTAAGTTCTATTTACTATCTGTGCTATGCTTGGGAAAGCCATATTTAGATTATAGAAGAATTGAAGAGAGCACGATCTTAACTCTGAGGGGTTGGGGGTGGATTTGTGGCTAGGTTAGTAATACACCTAGTCACCGTGCTTAATTAAATATCGTAATCTTAATGCGTTCTTAATAGATTTATTTCATAGGAATATAATCGTTAATCTATTTTGAATAGGCGAGTAGTACTTCGAGAGAAGGCTACGAGAGCAATTGTTCGATTAATTAGCAACCATGAGTGAATTGTATGAAAGGGAGAGTTAACTAGAACATAATAGGATTGGTGAATCGATCACAACCCTAGAATATTTGTCTCTACTGAATATACAATAACCATTTTGCTACTTGATAATTTAGTTACTAGTTGTAATTTTTGTTTAGTATAATCACACCTTTAAACTCGAATTGGCTCGACTGAATAACAATCTTAATGAAATTAGTGGGTAGTTAATACAAGTCTTTGTGAGTTCGACACTCGACTTATCATTTTATTACTTGAAGACAACGTATACTTGCGTGTGCGTTTGGGAGCAACAGAAGCAAAACTAAAATAGCCAATATAAGTTTTCAGTTATCTACGACATATATAACAATAAAATTTTAACTACTACATTTCGTAAACTGACCCGTTATCCTTTCTCAAAAGCTATTGCTACATTATACCTTATTTTATCAATATCATAGTACATTTATGCATTTACCATGTCCAAGAAAAAAACAATAGAATTTTAGTCATACTTTTAGTGTATTTTTCTTTTCTTTTTCTGTTGTGTAATTTTTCTTTTCCACCTCATAGCCTTTGACATAGAGATAGCCAACCATTGTAAGCATAATATATCAAGTTGCTCCTTTAAGTATTCCTGCTCCTCTTGCATATATTTACCCAAGAAGCAGTGGAGTATCTCAGTTTTATATATTTGTACAAAAATATCTTAATTTTATACATATACCGATATACGTATTAGAAATTACCTAAAACACTTACCATTTCACTCCTCTTTTTTGTTTATGCACTTCCTTCTCCATAAAGACTGCACCCGTTCTTCCCAAAAAGACAAAGAGGAGATAATATAGAAAAGAAAAATTACTCAAAGCCTTTGAAGAAGTTGAAAAATAAAGTTAGTAGTCATTCAATTGAAGTAAATGAAAATATATATAGTTCATGAAACGATAAAATCTCTAGATGTGAAATGAAAAGACAAATTAGGATTTCATAACAAATGATACCTCCAGCACACCTTCATGGATCTGCACTTTTTATTTTCCAAGTTATCACGTTTCTTCTCATAAGCTTATTTCTATTTATTCTCACAAAAATTTACTGTTTAGAATATATAGTGTTTAGATGGAAGATTAAAGGTTTCAAAAGAATAACATTCAAGCGTTAAAATTTTTTGTAACTTTCAACAGTTACAATGACTTTTTGATTTATTGCTTAGTGGGCTATTAAATATGTGAGTGAGACTTTATTAAAAAAACAAATATATAGAATGAATGAGAGGATTAAAGAAAGAATTGCCAAAAAAAAGGAGAAAGAAGATAAATGGCAATCCTAATCTAACACAGGTGCCGAATCATCGTTTTCATTCACTCCTTTATATATAAATTATTCCATCAATGCTAAATAGAGTTATCGGATGGTTACTTAACCACGTTATGCTCTTTATCTTTTTATACTCCATCCGGATAAAGAGCATAAAGTGGTTAGATGGGAGCGGAACCTCGTCACGACATATTATATGGTCCACTCTGTAGTTGATGCGAATGTATGGCCATTGAGTTTTAATTTGATTATCAACGTAATCAACTTAGCTGGACGATGGTGTTAACATAATAGTACGTGTGGTGCATGAATGATGGAGCGTTCTGTCATTCCATTTGATGCCAATTAGTTCGCTTGTTAGCAGTGGCGTACACCAGGTGAATATCCTTTTGTCGAAAAATTATAGTAATATCAAAAAATTATAGTAATGCGTATATACGTTAAATATTACGTTATATGATTATATATTTTGAACACCCTTAATACAGTTGAGTGAGGCAGTTCAGCGGCTCAGGGTGTTCAAAGTGACGTGTTGTTCAAGGGTTTAAAGTTCTTCCCATTTTGTTTGCCAAAATTAAACGGATACCACCATATGAGGTCTATTTGATTCTTTTTCAATCTTAAAATTTTCTAATAAAATAACTATTAAAACTTAAAATTTGTGTAGAAACAAACAACTAATCTTAAAAGTAAATTTTTTTTATCTAAAAGTTATTTTTTAAATAAATATTACTATGATTTAAAAATCAAATTCTACAAAAATTTCTTCCAAAAACTCTCTACAAACTACAAATGCTCTCGACTCTCTTTCCTTTGGTTTTATGCTTACTTTATTAGTAAAATTTCTAATGTTGTCCTTTTGTTATTTTAATTTTGATTTATAAAATTATAGTGCTATTAAAAGTTTTGTTAATTAGCTAAATGTTGCGTAGTTTGATTTAAAAATTTTGGTACACCATTCATCGATAAAAAAGTTATTGACTTCTTTAAAGTGTGACCACCCTTGGGCGAATTCCTGGCTATGCCAGTTGTTTGGTCGGGATCTAGCGCTACTGATCGGCCCGACCTTATACAAAATTTGGTCACTACAACCAGATGCGAATCTAGGATTTCTAATACATGAGTGAATTACTAAAAAAAGAAAAAAATGTATTAAGCGTGAATTGATCCATATACCTCTTGGTATATAATTCAACGTTCAACCAAGTACACAATTCAGCCTTCTTGGAAGATAGGTGTCAAGACAACAACAACAACAACAACAACAACCCAGTATAATCCCACTAGTGGGGTCTGGGGAGGGTAGTGTGTACGCAGAC